AATATACTATACTATTCTAACAATAGGGGAATAATTAAGTCAATTCTGGCACGTGAATGAAAAAAACATTATGCAGCCATTTAAAATTATGTTTGTTCACTAAGCTAGCAAAGCACAGAGCTAGAACTTGTGGATATAGTGGAGAATGAGAATGAAGCATAAGTAAGTATGAAGACTATGTAGAAACAAGAAAAAATGTTTATATGGTAAGTGAGAAAAGACAGATCTAAAGCTGTTAAGCATACTAGGATCGTGACCATGTAAGATACGCATGAAGATTGACAAAGACTAGAAGGAAATACATACAGAAAAGAAGCAGAAATAAAGTTTTGGTGAAGGGCAAGGAATACAGCTATGACCAAGTTTGGAAGTCAGAAGAGACAAAAAATTCCAAGTTTCTCCAACAGGTTTGGTATAAAACCATTACTAGATAAACCTGTGATAAAGCAGATAAAGCACAATGTTAATGGCACAGTCTAGATGTTGGATATATGGAGGCTCCCTGGACAACTTTTTCTATATGTTTAAAAATTTTCATAATAAAATGTTGGGAAAAAACCTCACCTCTGTTCTGCCTTGCATGGTAATAGAGCCCAACTGAGATGAGCTGCCCATCTACATTACGATGCAAATGACTGCAAAGATCCCTTTCTGCTCTAAGATTCCCACTTACCTCTGTGAAGTGCCAGGTATAAATGTTTTTCCACTGCCAAGTGTCCAGAGGTTTCCAAAGAGAAACTACATATTCACAAGCAGTTATGATACATGGCTCTTTAAGACCAGCTCTTTCCCACCACATGGCACTGACGTCCACGGAACAGGAGCCTGAAGGATTCTGACATAAAATGGCAACAACGAAAAAGAATTAGATGAAATACTAGGTAAGTGAAATTTTTTTTTTTTTATATTTCACATTTTCTATTTAATTCTTCCCTCCTACCCATCTGTTTCCTGGTGATGAGAGAGGTAAGTAAAATTGAAGTTTTGTGCAACTCAAAAGAGTAACCTTTTTTTTTTTTTTTTGAGACAGGGTCTCACTGTGTTGCCCAGGCTAGAATGCAGTGGCATCTTCATAGCTTATTACAACCTTAAACTCCTGGGCTGAAGGGATCCTCTGGCCTCAGCCTTCCGAGTAGCTGGGACTATAGGTGCTCACCACCACACCCAGCTAATTTTCCTATTTTTTGTAAAGACAAAAAGTCTCTCTATGTTGCCCAGGCTGGTCTCAAATTCCTGCCCTCAAGTGATCCCCCTGCCTCAGCCTCCCAAAGTGCTAGGATTACAGGCCTGAGCCGCTGTGGCCGGCCCAAAAGAAAGAGCTTTGTGGTTCTTATGAAACTAAAAAAAATTGCCTATACATACTTACATCATGATATACTAAAAAATGTATAGCTCTAGAATGGAATAAATTCTGATTTAATCATAAAAAGATAGCTCATTTATCCATTTGAAAATTAAGCACCCTGATGAACCACTCATGGATTGAAGAGGGAAAAACATTGAAACAACATATATTACCCTTAATCTCCAGTTATGACAAGGAGAGCACCGTGTATCCAAACCCACAGAGCATGGCCAAAGCAGTATTTCCAAGAAAAATCATAATCACAAAGGCATTTATCAGAAAACAAAGAAAGATTAAAATAAAGTAAGCATACAGCTTAAGAAGTAAGTAAAAGAACAATATAAGAACAATGAAAATCAGGGATTAGTAATTATAATGATTATAAATACAGAAATAAATGAGCTAGGAAATTAAAAAAAAAAAACCAATTAATAATCAATACAACCAAAAACTGGTTTTTGGGTTTTTTTGGCAGACCAACAGAATGGACAAATCTCTTAAGTCTGATATAGGAAAAAAAACTTTAGAAATGTGGGAATGGGGAAGAAAGGCTTAATTGCATATATACAGATAAAAAAATCTATAATAATATTAATGAAATGGTTGATTTCTTAATTTATTAGAATTGACTCAAGAATAGTTTTGAAACAGAGCATAGGTATTACTATATTATTACATATCTTTTATAGAAAAGGAATCTGGGGCTCAGAGTTTACATAATTTGTCCCAGGCGACATAGCCAGTAATTGGCAGAAACATTTTGGATAGATTTGAAGCTCCTTCCTCCACACAAGTACTTTTCAACAGGAAGAGTTTTTGCACCCCTATTCTCACTCCCACCCCCAGGACATTTAATAACGTCTTGAGACATTTTCAGTTATCACACAGCATAAAAAAGATTAACCATTCACTATATCAAAATCTAGACCTGCTACCCATTTTCTTATAAAGTAAAAGTGAAATCACCATAATTGATTCTTGTAGAAACATTACACCATTTGGGTAGAAGAGACATGAATGACTCGGGTTTCACTCTTTCTGTCAAAATGCCTGACTTAAATTCAGATAAGAAGTTGAGTTATTTAGCCTAAGTTGTTCTTGGCAATAGCCTGACATATAAATAAACTTCAGAAGAGCTCAAAATATAGAGGTAAATATTGCGAAAAACAAAGAATTCAAATCTGTTTTTCTGAATCTGTTTACCAATTTAATAGTATGAAATAAAGAATAAGAAGCCATATGATTGAATTCTTTTCAATTTTCTTATCAATTCATTAAATTTTTCACATGTAACACACAAGACACACTATATGGGAATATTCTGACCTTTAACTTTGAAACCAATTGTAGGTTGCCTGGGTTTAAGCTATCACAAGCAGGAAGATCTGCTATTTCAGTCTGCGGAAACAAAAGTCACACCATTAATCTACCCTTTATGTATGATGTCTGCCTACATCACTCACTCATCAAATGTCTACTTCATATGTTCTTATTTCCTCTGGTAACAGCAGCAAAGCTCCAAATGCAACTGTTTCATTGAAGACAAAGAGAATAGAATCCCCAATATTTAAAAGAAATGTGTTTTAATTACCCATAATTTCCCCAGATTGAGTTTAATGTTTACAATGAAGTCATACCAAAGAAACATGTTAAAACATTCTTAAACACCAAGGGGCCAATACGTAAGGAAGTCATGTTGTCCATTTTCACTAAGACATTTCATTCCTTCAGAGAAAATTTCACAAAGGAAACGGATTGTACCTGTTCAATGGAATGTTTACATAACTCCTGGCATGTATTTCCAGAGAGCTGATTTTCTTTGAAAGTGTATGACTCCACAGGTAGAGGTGTTGTTTGGGGGCCAGAGTCACAGTCACAGGTAGGTTGTCTTTGCCTACCTGAAACATGCAGGCTGATATCCAGTTTTGGTGGGCTGGTTGTACTATCACCAGCAAGACTGACTGTGTCTTTCAAGAGAGAAACCTGGGGTGTAGAGCAAGTTTGTCCAACACCCTCTGTAGACCCTTTATCATAGCATGCTTGGGAGCCAAAAGCTGGAGTAGTACCTAAGATGGGGAAAGCAGGTGAACACATGTCTGCAGTAGGTCTGTCACTATCATCAGCTGCAACAGTATTTAAGGGAGTGAAAAGTAATATGGATGAAGAGAGGCCCTTATTTGTAGGCTGGCTTTTTAGGTCTGACATTTTAGGATGTGATTTTCCTGGTAGATCAGTAAGGTCCTCTTTCAAGTCCTCTATCTCTGTGTCTGTTTGTTTAGGAATCAGTTCCTCCAGAACAGTAATGCAGTTTTCCTCCTTAAGATGCCTCTCTCCATAAATATTTGATTCAAAAGGTTCAATCAGTTTTTCTGAGCAGGACTTCAGTTTTTCAAGCTTAAGAGGCCCAAAGTCTTCATCAGGTAACTGGAAGTCTATGATATTGAGAAAAGATGACAGTTGCTTTAAACTCAGCATTTCGTTTTTATGAAAAGGAACACTGAAAGCATCATTGTCCAAAGCTAAATAAGCATTATCACTGGAAGACAGGAAGTCCTCTTTTTGATGATGACCTTCCTTCCCTAAAATAGAAAAATAAGCAACAGCAATAGTAAAAAAACCCACAAAAGAGACATTAATATCCAACAAAGAATGAGCTTCTAAATTCAAATACAGTGGAAAATATTCATTACTTTTCCCATGCAGGACTTTGGAACCTGGGTGAAGGGTCTGATGATGGTCATAGGTTGGTGGTTAACTAAGTTATCTTTCTGCACTACCCCAAATAGTGTATTGCTGACATCATTAAGTGGGAGAAGGAAGACTAGGGTCAAGACCCAGGTCAACCACTGATTTGCTGTGTAACCTTGGACAATTCAATTCAGTCCATTTTCCCTCTTCTGATTATCCTTCTTAAGGGAACTAGACTAAAAATCTCTAAATTTCTGCCCCCCTTGAGAACTATGATTCCACCACGCTGCCAGAGTATAGTCTACAAAATGCTGGCTCTTCTCACTAAAGAAAACTCAGTCCTCTTTTCAAGCAAAGAGTAATTTACTGCTCTTATTGTGAATGGACTCCTATAACATTCAAAATGTAGTTGTATCCAACTGATGAATGGATAAACAAACTGTGGTACAAACACATGATGCAATGACAGAATATTATTCAGCCATAAAAAGGAAACACTGATACATGTTACAACATGGATGTATCTTGAAAACATTATGCTAAGTGAAAGCAGCCAGACACAAAAGGTCACATATTGTATAATTCCATTTATATGAAATATGCAGAATAAATTGTAAATTCATAGAGATAGAATGCAGATTGGTGGCTGCCTGGAGCTAGAGTGGATTGGGGAGAGGAAATGGGGAAGCAGCTGCTTAACAAGTATGGGGCTTGGGGGTAATAAAAATGTTTTAAAACTAGATAGAAGTGGTAGTTATATATTATAAATGTACTATTAATAAATGCCACTGAATTGTTCACTTAATTTAAAATGGTTAATCTTGTTATGGGAATGTCACCTCAAGAAAAACTAAATGTAGCTTCTGCTTACTAAAATTATAGCAGACTATTTCAAAGTACTTTATAAAAAGAAACTTTCTAGATTATTACTGGATTGCCTACTTTGTGATTCCTTTGTATTCTTGTTGACTTAAAAAACGATGAAAAAAAGTCATAATTATTATTTTTAAATTAATCAATCATAGCTCATAGACTAAAGTCTGTCTAGTGGCACAGAGCAGACTGCTGCCTACTTTTTCTTCCTGCTGCCTATTTTTGTACATAAAGTTTTACTGAAACAAGTCACATTTACACATTATCTTTGACTACTTTTGCATCAGTTTTTTCTTTTCTTTTCTTGTTTTTTGGAGACAGGGTCTTACTGTGTTACCCAGGCTGGAGTATAGTGCTGCAATCATAGCTCACTGCAGGCCTGAACTCCTGGGCTCAAGCAATCCTCCCACCTCAGCCTCCCGAGTAGCTGGGACTGTAGGTGCACACCACCGTGCCTGGCTAATTCTTATATGTTTTTGGTAGAAAAAAAAGCTTGTCTCAAACTGCTGGCCTCAAGCAGTCCTCCCACCTTGGCCTCCCAAAGTGCTGGCATTACAGGTGTCAGCCACGGTGCCTGGCAGCACCACAGCTGAGTAGCTGAGACAGAGCACAAAGACTTGATACCTCGTTTACAGTCACAGTGAATTAACCAGTTCTTGTGCTCAGTTTATCAGATATGATTAACTCCTGAGCAAATGAATGGAAAGTTTAAATTACAACATAGCCTTGCTTGCTGTCCTTCAAAATCTTATGTCCCATGGACCTTAGAGAGACTACATTAGATATTTTACCCAAAAAAGTTGCTCAGGTCTTTTTAGTACATGATCACGTCTAAGAGAGTTAATGTGCTCTTACTCTAACACACACTCCATTTTACTTCAAAAACATGTCCTATAGTATGTCCTATAGTAGATATAAAGCTTCTACCCATGGATAAAAATTGTGCTATACCTGAATAAATATTAGTATTACATAAACACCCAATACATTTTCCTTTTCAGTATCCACTTTTAACCACATTAGTGAACTCTGGTACCTTACTGTCAGGTTTAAATAATTAAATTAATTAAAGTCACTTTAATCTCCCTGTGCCTTAATTTCCTCATCTGTAAAGGGAGGATTTTACCACATGTAGGATTGCTGTGATGATTCAATGTCACATCTGTACAGCATTTAAAAAGTACAAGGCACACAGTGTTAGCTATCATCATCCTCATCATGAAACATTTTGATTTACCTTGAACCTTCTTACCATGAATAATTGCTGTTTTGTTCCGATATTTGTGCAAGATGACTTCCTCCCCAGAACTGTTAATGTCCAATGTACCAGAAGTTGGCAAAAGTCGTTCATGATGATCTAATGCCGAGATGCAGGTTGATTTTCTTTTTCCTCTGTGTCTTCTGCCAGTTAGCTGGGTAACTGCCTTCCTAGAAAAATCATTATCTTCAGTGGGCCCATTGGGAGGCTTGACTTTAGTTAATGAGAGATGTTTCTGAGGACTTCTTGAATTTGGTTGTCCTGTATGTGTGTCAGAAATCCTAATTTCACTTTGGTCAGTTTTCTCATTGGAAAGGTGTAAATTTTCACTTGCTTTCTTATTTTTATTTTTAGACCCTTTTTTCCTGACACCCAAGTGACTTTGAATTACAGCCTCCAGAGCTACTTTTCTCTGGCAATTTGACATGTGTCGTGTTGTTCTAACATAATATTCTGCAGGAAACAGAAGGCCTTCAAGCATTGTGCAAGAATGTGTTTGATTTTCTATAGAAACAGGAGAGCTTGCTTCTAGGCAAAGACTCTTAGATTGACCTAGAGTCTTATTTTCCCGAAGACATTCATTTCTACCATCAAGAGCATTACTGGGAGATTGTAAAGATGTCTCTGTATGATTTTGTTCTTTTAAGTTTGGGTTTTCATTTGCTGGTAAGTTACTGTAAGTGACTTCATTTATAAAACATGAATTATCTGCCTCTAAATTATGACTTCTAGCTAGTTGGCCACTTGCACTTACAGCTTTATTTACTACTGGGTTATCTGTAAGTATAGTCATTTTTTTGCCTTGTGCCTCCAAGTTTATAGATGAAGCAAGGCTAATGTTTTTTAAACCCTGAGCAATAAGTTCACAGTTACCTTTAGGAGGCATATGTTCAAGGTACTGACTATTACTGCTATCTGGTGAAGTATGCAAAGGAATTGTAGTCTCCTTGGGGAAATTAGTTCTTCTTAGGAGTCTATCAACACTTCTTTCTGGTTTGGCAGTTGGTGGAATTAATATACCCTCTCCATCATGTTCTGTAACTGGTCCTGGACAATCTGGAAGTTCAGACTTGAGAGGACTTGAAAGGTGAGTTCTTATTTCAGTTACTGGTGACTTAGGATTTTTGCTACAGATTTCTCCCTGTAGTCTTTTTTCAGAGAGTATGAGTGAATCTGCGTCAAAGACACATTGTCTCTCCTGTGAAATACATGTTCTCTTCTGCTGCTTCTTGCTCCTCCCGGGCATCTTACTCTGCCTTTTCTTACCATCAGGACCACTGGCCCTGGGGGAAAGATGTTCTTGGATGTCATCTGTGCTTTGTATAAGTAATCCTTCTGGGCCGTCTCCAGGGTTAAAGGACCCAGACTCAACATCAAGTGTGATAGATGTCTTTTCTCCAGTTTTTTCATCAAAATGGGTGTTGATTTGTGACTTTGTGTCACAAAGAGACACTTTATTTTTAGGTTCTGAGGAGGAAAAAAAAAATGTGTAAC